AAATATTGCTGTGGGCAATAGGGGACCTTGGAGTCTAAAAGGTTGAGAACCATTGATCTGTGCAAATTAAAGCAAACACAAGAGAGAACTATTTAGAATGCCATACTAACGGAAAAATTAAGAAACTCCTCTTTGATTAAAGTAACCTAGACCGTCCAGTCCATGAACACACTACATCCATGAATCACCGGCCTATCACTGAGGAGTAATTAATGGGTCTTCTAATAGGATCTTTAAACGAGATGGCGTGCCTGTCGGATGCCTTGATTTATGAAGCACACTCCACTCTCTGTCTGAATAAACTGAGGTACAAGGGGAGAAGGGGGAAGTTCTTAAAAGATATTACTTACGGCGTCTCCACGCTCTTTCTGAAGTGTGTTATAGACAGAGGGGGATCTGTTGAAGAGAACACCAGATTAGAGATTTCAGACACGCATAAAAAGACTCATTTCCTGATGAAAAGCATGCTGAAAGATTGACAGAATTTCCGCTGCATTGTCAGTTTTGTGATTGTGGCAACTGCCTGTTATTTAAACCTCGATTATGGGAATGTCTTGAAAGTTAAACAATGGAAAGTTTCTCAGTGTTTTCCAGAACTACTTGGATAAATAAAAAAAATAAAAAAACTACCAGTCTGTTTGAATTGCAAGTCCATCAGTAGGGTAAGATGTGAAGGGCAAGGAGTTGGATAAGAAAGAGGACATTCTGGCCGCGAGAGCACCACTGACCTCGTCTCCGCTTGAGCTTACGCCGTCTCTGTTTGTTGACGAAGCAGGCTGCTAGCGTGCTGAAGAGGATGGCTGCTGCCAGGAAACAGATGGTGGCCACAATGCCTGCCACCACCGGCCGCGCCAGCCCCTCGTCTGCCACCTCAGGCGGCGGAAAGTAGTCTGAAAGATACAAACAAGCTCGCCTTCAGCACACACACACCAGCTCTTTCATTGTTAGTGTGGGCTGTTTCAACAATAAACCATACAGCTCATTCCAAATTATTTAGTTTATAGGAGGAAAGATTGAAACAGAATGAAATAGTTGCCTATCTCGATTCATAAAAACATTCAAAATCACTGTGAGAAGCTTTGAGAAATGAAAACAAAGACTGAATGGCAGCCTCGTGTTTATTTTGACTTCAAGTAGTGACTGAATTCTGACTGCAGTGCACTATCTACTATTTAGTAAATTCAATAACTGGAAAGTGGTAACAGAACAAGGACTGCCAATAAAACAGAAACGATTATAATATAAATCTTAATCACAATAAAAAAAAAAAACTAAAACTAAAACTACCGTTATTTCAAATAAATGTTGTTCTTTAGAACTTTATATTCATTTGAGAATCCTGAAAAAAGTATCAGTTTCCACAAAATTATTAGGCACAACATCAATGTTTTCAGCATTGATAATAATAAGAAATGTTTCTTGAGCAGCAAATCAGCATATTAGAACGATTTCTTAAGGATCGTGTGATGCTGAAAACTGGAGTAATGACTGCTAAAAATTCAGCTTTATCATCACAGAACAAAATACACTTTAAAATATGTTATTTTAAATTGTAATAATAATTCATAATATTGCTGTTTTACTGAATTGGTGATCAAATAAATGCAGTATTGGTGACCCCGCCCCCCTCGGTTTCAGAAATGTTTCTTGAGCAGCAAATCAGCATATTAGAACGATTTCTTAAGGATCGTGTGATGCTGAAAACTGGAGTAATGACTGCTAAAAATTCAGCTTTATCATCACAGAACAAAATACACTTTAAAATATGTTATTTTAAATTGTAATAATAATTCATAATATTGCTGTTTTACTGAATTGGTGATCAAATAAATGCAGTATTGGTGACCCCCCCCCCCTCGGTTTCACAGACAAGGCTTAAGCTAGTCCAAGACTAAAATGCATGTTTGAGCCATCTCAGCTGAAAATATCTTGCTCTGACATATCTTAAAATATGTCAGTGCCATTGTTCTGTGTCAATATGCTCACCTGTAATGTTTTCTTCCAAGGCATTTTTGTAAAAGTTGCTTAAATATCTTAATTTAACTAAGGTCTAGTCCTGGCTTAAGCTAAGCCCCGTTTGCTTTCTTTGTACAATATTTATTCTTAGATTTGGATTTTCAGCAAACTGTGGTTTGAGAGATTAAAACATTTTTACAGAAACATTAATACAGTTACTGAAGTAAAAAAAAAAAAAGGAGCACAATACATCCAATATTTATAAATATGGACTTGTTTTAATTACCAAAAAATATATATTCAAACAAACTGTGTGTAATTCATATTAAATCCAGCAGATGGCAGAAGAGTCTCATCAGACCATCACTATTTCAGAATCAACTCCTTCCGATAATGTTTTTGTGGGTCTAGACAAAAATGTCACACAGTATAACATGATATTATGTGGAGTAAATTTCACAGTACATTTTCAAAACCCATATGGACTATAAAATCGTCAGAGCACTGACCTGTGCTAGAGACTCCCACTACATTACTGGGCTCACTGACAACGTCCTCCATAACCGCCAAAACTCTGAACTCATACCAGGCCTCCTGCAAAACAATGCAGAGACATGTACAGCATGTTTCCTTTAAATAGATGACTAGAAAACTCAATCCACTGAAAGTTTAGTTGCAATAGATTAGAAAGCTGTAATGGGTGTGAAATAATTTAAATAAATTTGCATCTAAATGTGACAAGATGTGAAAAATATATTTAAAAACAAATCAAAACTAAAAAGCAAAAAACAAAAATATTAGAAACACAAAGAGATATCTAATTAACCTTTCATTACAGTGAAAAACCTTGAGGGAGATTTTCCCAACTTTTTGCTTTTTTTCACCAAAATAATGTTGCTTCATAACTTTATAAACATGACTGTGACTAAGTGATGCCTAAACCTTTATTGTTGGGTGAATTATTCTTTTAGCGAAACAGCAATATAAATAGTTTATAGTTTACGCTCAAACACTTTTTTCACCGGCAGGA